TTAAAAAAAAAAAAAAAAAGAGTCTGCCTTCAGCTCAGATCATGATCCCAGGGTCCTGGGATGGAGCCCTAAATAAGGCTCCCTGCTCGGTGGGGAGCCTGCTTCTCCCTCTCCCTCTGCAGCTCCCCCCTGCTTCAGTGTTCTCTCCCTCTCTCTCTCAAATGAATAAAAATAAAATCTTTTAAAAAATAATAAAAATTAAAGGGGCACCTGGGTGGCTCAGTCGTTAAGCGTCTGTCTTCAGATCGGGTCATGATCTCAGGGTCCTGGGATCAAGGCCCACATCGGGCTCCCTGCTCGGCAGGGAGTCTGCTTCTCCCTCTCCCGCTCCCCCTGCTTATGTTCCCTCTCTTGCTGTCTCTCTCAATGTCAAATAAATAAATAAAATCTTTTAAAAAAATAATAAAAATTAAAAATAAAGGTAGTAAATTTTAACAAGTAGGTGGATTCAGAAATACTGATCTAGGAATGATGATGATAGAATGTGATCTCCCTCAAGAAACAGAATAGGGGAGGAAGACTTCCCAACTGATTTTTATGAGGCCAGCATTATCCTGATATCAAAACCCAGACACAGACAATGGAAGAAAACTACAGATTAATATCCCTCATGAACAGAACTGTAAATAACCTCAATGAAATATTAGCAAATCCAGCTACATATAAAAAGCATAATACACCACAACCAGGTTAATTATTTTTTGCCCCAGGAATGCAAAGCCAATTCAAACTTTGAAAATCAATGTCATCCACCATATTAATAGTCTAAAACTTAAAAGCAAAATGATCCTAGCAATTGAGTCAGAAAAAGCATTGGACAAAATTCAACATCCATTCATAACAAAAACTCTTGGTAAACTAAAGATAAAAGGGGGCGCCTGGGTGGCTCAGTCGTTTAAGCGTCTCCCTTCAGCTCAGGTCATGATCTCAGGGTCCTGGGATCGAGTTCCGCATCGGGCTCCCTTCTCAGCTGGGAGCCTGCTTCTCCCTCTGCCTGTTTTTCCCCCTGCTTGTGTGTGCTCTCTCTCTGACAAATAAATAAATAAAATCTAAAAAAAATAAATAAATAAAAATAAAGATAAAAGGGAGCTTCCTCAACCTGACAGTAAGTGTTTACAAAAAAACCTATGGCTAGTACACTTAACTATCAAAGACAGAATGCCTTCCCCTATAATCAGAAAAAAAAATCTGCAAATCACATCCAGCAAAGGATTTGTACCCAGTATACACACAGAATTCTCAAATCCCATCAGCAGAACAATAAACAACCCAGTTAAACAGTGGGCAGAAGACTTTCACGGACACTTCACCAAAGACGATATACAGCTGGAAAATAAGCACGTAGAACGACGCTCAAGAGTGACGTGGCACACAGTAGGCAGTGAGGACACAGCACCCTTGACGCTTCCTCTTTCGTCACTCCATCTGCGCGGTAGCAGCTGCAGTAGCCGCAGTTCTGTCTCCGACATGCAGCTCTTTGCGCCCAGGAGCTCCACACCCTCAAGGTGACTGGGCAGGAGACAGTCTCCCAGATCAAGGCTCATGTAGCCTCACTGGAGGGCACTGCTCCACAAGATCAAGTAGCGTTCCTGGCAGGCATACCTCTAGAGGATGAGGCTACCCTGGGTCAGTGTGGAGTGGAGGCTCTGACCACCCTGGAAGTAGCCGGCCGCATGCTTGGAGGTAAACTCCATGGTTCCCTGGCCCGTGCTGGGAAAGTAAGAGGGCAGACTCCCAAGGTGGCCAAACAAGAGAAAAAGAAGAAGACAGGCCGAGCCAAGTGGCGGATGCAATACAGCCAACGCTTTGTCAATGCTGTGCCCATCTTTGG